TAGGTCTCTTCTGGTTCCATGTGAATTTCACAATTGTATTCTCTAAACCTGTAAAGAAGGCTGTTGGCATTCTGATTGGGACTTCATTAAATCTGCATGACAGTTTTAGAAGTAGAGCCACTTTGGCTATACTGGTTCTGCTTATCCAGGAACAGATGACATCTTTTTATTTTCTCATGTCCTCTTCTACCCACTTTTCAGAGCACTGTAGTTTTCACTGTAGAAATGTTTCTTTTCCTTGTTTAGATTTTTTTCTAAGTATGTAATTTTGCTTAATGCTATTAGGAAAAGTATCTTCTCTAATCTCTCTCTCAGTGAGTGTTTCAGTTACTTCCTTGTTGTTATTACAAAATATTCAACACTTATAGATTAAAACAGGGTATATTTCTACTTAAAATTTGTAACTTTTAAGCCCATAGTTAGCTAGCAACAAGGCTGGGTGGCATGGGAGAGGGGCATGGCAAAGAAGAAATAGCCCATGCAATGGCAGGCAGGAAGCAGCACAGAAGATCAAGGTAGGATGAGGGATACATATCCTCTAGGTCAAGCTCACATTGACTCACCTCTTCCCACTAGGCTTTGCCTCCCAACGTCACACCTGACTATAAACCCATCAGCTCACTGACCCAATATCACACACCCATGGTCCAGTCACCTCCAAAAAGCCCCACCTATGAGCACATGAAGCTTTAGGGAATTTTTAGATGTGAGCCATAACAGCGAGTTTATCATTGTTGGACAAGAAGGCTGTTAACTTTTGAACGTTAACTTTGAATTTTGCTATACTACTTCATTTGATTATTAATTCTAGAAGTATTTCAGTGGAGTTTTTGGTGTCTTTTATGTAGAATATCATGTTATCTTCAACTAATGATAATTTAACTTCTTATCTATTTTTAAAATGTATTCATCTTGTCTAATTGCTCTGGCTAATATTTCAAGAATTATGTTAAAAAACAATATTTAATTGGCCAACAATTTGAGAAAGGGTAGGTTATACAATATAGAGCTTCAGAACAACTAAACAATAAGTTCACTTCAGGGTTCCAATGTTGTCCTCCCACTGGATGAGACACAGCCATGAGAAACAGTAGCCAAGAGGGTTGGCTACTCTAGGCTATGCTAAACACTTTGAGAAGTTTAAGATCAGGGTAGTAAAGGCATGGCCTCTTACCCTGTATGGCAAGAAGCCAACACTAGTATGTGTCTCTTAATCCAAGCTTGCTGCTTGAATTCTTGTCCAGTGGTCTACAACCAGGTTAGATTTGATGACTGATTACTTTCCTCGTCTACAATGTGAGCAAGAACACATCTCAGACTGGACAATTGCCATAAATTGTGGTGAAAGGACAGAGAGGCCTTCAGAGCCTGAAGGCATATCATAAACTTACAGACCATAAAGTTAGGCATTGGATTTCAAAACTGCAGATACAAGAAAGAAACCACTCATGCAAAAAAAAAAAAAAAAAAAAAAAAAGGAAAAGAATTTTTCCTTTTCCACATCTCTGCCATTAGAAAATATAAGTTAAAATAACCTTAATTTTCCAACTTTTTTCCAGCCATTCCAGAAAGAATGGCTATCATCAAGAAACAAAATAATAACAAATGCTGGCAAGGCTGTAAAAAATAGAACTCTTCTATGTTTTCATGGGTATGTAAGCTAGGATAACCATTATGGAAATCAATATGAAGATTCCTCAGGAAACTAAAGTAGACATTTCATGTGACCTAACTATTCCCATTCTAGGTAATTTCCTGGAAGTTTTAAAGACATTCATATCATAATACTACATGCACACCCACATGTACAGCAGTCCAACTCATTATAGATAAACCTTGGAAGCAATCTACATATCCTTCAACAGATAAATGGATAAAACAAAGTGGCAGTTATACACAACACAGTACTACTCTGCCATAAAGGTAAACTTCACTCATTTGTAGGGAGATGGATGAATCCTCAGAGCATGATATTAAGTAAAATGAATCAGATACACAAGCTTGACTATCTCAAGGTTACTTTTAAATGAGAAATTCAAAATAGAAATAAGGAGCAAAATAAATAATAATGGAATATAGGAAGGCAATTATTTTGAGAAAAGAAAGACAAGTTAAAGGAAGAATTGAACAAGGTTCTTCAAAGGGTAGTGAAATAATTAAGAAGTGTTATGTACATATATCATCTCATGAGGAAAATAATCATTATGTGCTGCAATCATGTACTAATAAAAAAACTGTCTGGCAAATTTCCTTTGTGGCTTCTTTGTAAGATGAGAAAATTCTTGTATATCCTTTGCTTGCTGGGGGGTTGTATCATTCATAGGTGTCATATTTTGCTCAATGTTTTTACCATAAATATTGATATAATCATGTGACCTTATGTCTTTAACTTCTTGACAGAAAGATATTATATAAATTGATTTCTGATATCAAACCAACTTTTGATTTTATAAATGAATTCAGTTACATCTTAGTGTATACTTCTTGGAAATTCTGACTTTAGTACCTAGGATAGAAAGTAGCCAGGACAGAATTAGGACACATTAAGGAGTAAATAAAATATAATAGCAGTGAATCAATTGAATAATGGTACTCTGGTAACAAGAAGGGAGTGAACGTCTCAAAGATGTTTCTGCACATTTAATTGTTTTTTCCCTTATAGTAAAGATAATTGTATTACTAAGTCCTATTAGTTCATTGAAAGGAGCAGTTATTGGTTATATTGTTTGATCAATTTTGCATGCCTCTCTCTCGTAATCTGAGCAACTACTTTGAAGATAACAATATGCAATATAATAACCATTGTTAATTTCCTATCATTTTGCTTTGAAATTCTGTATCATTTTTATAGTCTTTTCTCTCTTTAAAATAAAAAGTAAAAAATTTTGAAAACCTTTAATTGTTTTGTTTGCTTGTAAGTAAAATTTTAATATGTTTGCACATTGAAAACAAGAATCCATTGAAAAGGAACAGGGGAAGATATAAAAATGTATTCTACTTGAATCAAAATAAAATCAGTAATAATTTTAAGTAATACTTTTCATTTATTCAACAAACATTTATTAAACAAAAACTTGGGTTGCATTCTACCACTAATAATTCTGGTTATACCCAGAAATACTTCACAACTGTATTCAAATATCAATATTAATAATTCCAATGGTGAGAAACCAATATTTTTCTGCAGATTCTCTTAAATAATAATCATGTGGTTAATTTATAAGTTGTTTATTGTCCTAGTATAGTCAATAAGACTATGTCACAGGTCATAGGAACAGTTTGTTGTACTTCTTTTTGGGAGTAATTCATTTAGGCTTATGTTTCTGTGTCATATAATCTTATGTTTCATTATCACACTCTAAAAAGAACATGGAATCTACTTAACTTCTTACCCAATTTCATTTTATTTAAGAAATCTGTGACTTTAGAGTTTTGAGAATGTAAAAATGTGAGTGATTCTTTGTTATTCCTAGCCAACAAAAAGTAAATGGATAAGGAAAGTTTTCTTCCATATTATGTAGTTTGGCACTTTGAATTAGATAAATGAACCAGAAAAATACAATATACTCCTCAATTTCATACTGGAAAAGTAAACAGAAATTTGATTCAAGAAACTCATTCTCAGATTTCCTGTTTAAATAATCCGTCACTTTATAGCTCCATCAACCCAGTTACTAACCAGATACAGATGTCCTCAGGTGGAGAGAAGGGCATGGTTTCTTTTCACTACAGAGAAGGATCTTCATGTGATAATTTTCCCTTCATGAAAAGGAGACCACAGATTTACACTTGCCTCATTCAATTTCAGCTTTGGCGTTATATTATTACTTTATGTTCTAACAAAAATTTTGTTAAAAAGAGCATGCATTGTGAATTCAGACTGATCTATGAAACTCATTAATTCACTCAGTGATTTTTTAATTCATCTATCTGAACTTCAATTTTCTAAGTGATTAGATAAAGTTAGTACTTTGGGGGGGTTTTGTGAAAAAAAAAAAAGAATCATGTGATATAAACACACACACATATATATATATATATATGATTTTAGTATGCAAATATTTGCCTCCGTTTGCGATTTTACTACTGCATAGAATGTCTTTATCTCTGACTTGTTCATAAATCTTAAAATCCTAAGGTTCATGACCTTTTGCTTCTCTAAGGTAGTATGAACACCATAGCTCCCATGAACAGCCACTGTTTATGATGCTGTGGAGAGTAGAGAAGGCTATACAGAACTGATGCTTTAATAATTCAGAATTATCAGTCAACCTAACATGCTTACACATATTTCAAATGTGCACTTGAAATAATGTAGAAGAGATAAGGTAAACTGTTAAGACTTGCAAACAAGTTTAAGGATTCCTGAAATGTATTCCAGAGAATATCTTATAAATGCTCCTAAATTATAAATAAACACGCCTATAAATTTTAATTTAAATTGAGATGAAATCAATATTCACTGAGTATACACTATATGTAACTCTGTAGATTCATCTGAACAATTCCTAAAACATCCTATCTCGCATTCAAGAGTTAACATACTAAAAGGCTAGTGAATCCCAGAAGATTCCTGTCCCTTCAGGTACCTACTAATGAATAATAAAAAGCATTCAAACTGGCTCTCAATAGTTTTAGGCTTTGTGTTTACAAGTAGAAAGTTGTTTCTCAAGAACTCTGGTAACCAAAGGCCTTCAGATGTCAGGTGAGAAGATGACACAATATGGTGAATTTGAGTGCAGAAATAAGATACGAAATCTTTTGGTCAAAGATCGCTTATTAATCTCTAGCAGGTGCAACCATAAACCACTTAAAAGGATATTCATTTTAACTCTTTCAAAGACAGATTTGTTACTTTGGAGCATAATGCTGACCCAATTTTAGTTTTACTAAAAGTCCTGCAAATAGGAAAGACAGGGTGGCCAATTTTACGATAGTCTTGATTAGCCTTGGCCCTGAAGCTTAACAGAGTAGATTCTAAGAATGTCAGGAACCCAGGAATGGGAAATGGCGAAGGTATGATATATGGTGACGTTATGTCTGGGTAGGTTAAAATTTGCCTTTTTGAATAATGAAGAAAGTGTCTTGATTCTTAGATTTTTATGCAATATTATTAAAGCTGAAAAAGTTTAAAGAGTCCTGATTATGTTTCTGAGTAGGAGATTTGAAAATAAGACTCAAGAACCTTATTTCTTTAAACTGTTCTTATCATCACAGAACAAAGGAAGTAACATTTTGAAGAGGAATAATACATGGTTCTAGAAGGTCATCCTTTCAATAAAAGGTTAGATTTAGGGAGCATCAAAATGACCATCTGGGCAAGGTCCTAAATCACATTCAAAAACAAAAATAACTTAAATGTCCTTGCAATAGATTTTTAAGGAACAAAGAATTTCTGACAAATTTGATCACAAAAATGCTCTCATCGCTAATGTATTATGAATTTTACTTAGACATTTCATTATGAGACTGCCCTCCACAGCCTACAATGCAAGCAAATTAGGAAGAGTCTTTGAGTAGTTCTTGTACCACTGCAGCCCAGTTCGGATGGACAGTATTCAAACTTGTGGCATAAGTAAATATGTGCTTTGTCCAAATAAACAGCCAATGTATAAGTCATAAACAATAAGGGTGATGCCAATTTTTAATATTAATTATATGTAAACTGTATATACAAGACAAGTGTGTATAAAACCCAAAGATCTTACTTATAATATTAAGGACATTTTAGGTCCATAATATTTGACTAGAGATACAAGTACTATTCTGAAGTTTTAGAATAAATGTGTATTCATGGTGATAACCTTTCCATATCTTATTTTATTATAAAGTTTTTCTTTTAGTACCCTACATTTTCAGTAAAAGCTGGAGCGTGTGTTCATATACTATAAAAATCAGTGCATAACCCATTTAAATGTAGAATAAGATATTAGAAGCATCTAAAATAATGTAACACCGTAAATTTCATAAAAAACACGTATCTGAGGAATGCATGTTTACTGAAGGGGAGGTAGTGGATGGTTCTAGAAGGCCATCCCCTCAATAAAGGGTTAGATTTAAGGAGTATTTAAATGGTCATCTGGGCAATTACTGAAGCCTACTTGTATTGGTGTTCCTGTTTATTAGAAATGAATTGATCAAGTTGGTAAAGTTAATGAAATAACAGTAAGTTCTTTATTTTAAATTAGACCCCATAAAATGAGCAAATGAATAATATAGAATGCATGCATCTTTTATTTTCAAATTATCAAAGGACTTATAGTTTAATACAATACCTCATTTTTCATTGTTGCAATCACTATCAGTTAAAATGAATCTATTAATAAGACAAGAATTCCAATTACAGTCTAAATACTCTCAGATTCTAAAATTCTGTCTGACATATCAACAGTGGTGCCTTAGACAAAACATTTCATTCTAGGACCAGTATGCTATCGTGGGATCACACTGCCGGTCAACACCACTAGCTCCATCTTCTCCAGCTTCCTGGTCACAGGCATTCCTGGGCTGGAGGCTGCACACATTGGCATCTCCATACCCTTCTGTGCCATGTTCCTCATTACCCTGGTGGGCAACGTGACCATCATGACAGTTATCTGGAGGGAGCACACCCTCCATGTGCCTATGTACCTCTTCCTGGCCATGCTGGCTGCCTCTGATCTGGGCCTGTCACTCTCCACCTTTCCGACCTTGCTGAGCATCTTCTGGCTGGATGCACGAGAGCTGACTTTCCCGGCTTGCTTCACCCAAATGTTCTTTATTCACACTTTTCAGAAATTTGAGTCTGCTGTTATTCTGGTCATGGCCTTTGACCGCTATGTAGCCATTTCTCATCCACTGCACTATTCCTCCATCCTCACTCACAGGGTGATCTCCAGGATAGCCGTGGCTATTCTCTTGCGAACCTTGGCAGTAGAGGTACCTCTCCCCATTCTCTTGAAGAGGCTGTGCTTCTGTCGCTCCAATGTACTTTCCCACTCTTACTGTCTGCATCCTGACATCATAAAGCTCTCCTGCTCTAATACAAGGATCAACAGCAGCTTAGGATTGTTTGTAGTACTGTCCACCATGGGACTTGACTTCCTCCTC